TGGCCCTGCCGCAGCGATAAATGAAAATTAATGGCGGAAATTCATTTGACAAGCAGAAAACCAACAGCAGAGCAACTAAAGGAAAAGCAAACAATTTCCAGATCATTGCATCTTCCATTCCGCAGCAGAAGCCTTTGTCATTCGGAAAATGAAAATTCATGCATTTATGATTAATGAGCGCCAGGACGCCAGGGGCAGGAGGTTGGCGCACACGGCCTATGAATGATTCTTGCACATACAAAAATCAATTTAAATATTGCAAGAGATTTTAAATATTGAAATAGCAATGTTGAACATGGCGTATGATTAATATTTGTATATGGCCATTAAAAGCGGTGTTTCGGGCAAAGAAAGAAGGGTTTCGAAAGCTATGAAGGGTCTCCGCTTAGCATCGAGTCTCTAGAGCGCCAATATATAGACTTTGGAGCACAATCCCTAGAATAAATGCAACTGCTAGTGTACCAGAAATCTTTCGTTTCCCCAAGGCTTTCCCAATGCCTTCCGTCTGCTGCTTTCATTCAGAAAATATTTATGTTAAATATAGTAAAAGCCTCCACGGGGAAAAGTAAACAAAAGTTGCACACAAAAACACAAAGAGCATGAGTGCGAGAGAAAGAGCACAAGGCAACAATCAAACAAGAGAAAGAGTTAAAGGTAAAGAGAGGCCGATACCCAAAGAGAGAGAAAGCGAACGAGTTGCAGGGGCAGCAGCAATTGGCAAACAAAAAACTTTTGCAGCAGCAGCTGCAGCAGAGCTTTGGCAGAGGCGATGGCAGTGGCAGTGGCAGTGACTGGTGGCAGAGGCAGCAACAGCAGCAGCGGCCGCATTCAGTTACCGGTTTTTAAGCGACGTCAACGCTGGCAGCAAAATAAGGAAGGAAACCAGAAAGCAGCCCTCTCTCTCTCTCATTCTCTGTCTTCTGCCTGTGTGAGTGTGTGTGTGTGTGTGTGCAGTCGATGGCTGTCTGTGCTGAAATTGTTGAGGCAGGTCCTGGGCCGGAATACGCGAAAATAGGTACAGCCAACGAACTGCTGCTGCTGCTCTCCAGACAGAGACAGAGACCCAGACCCAGTCCCAGTCCCAGTCCCAGTCGCAAACGGAGTCCCAGTGGCAGACCCCTTCTCCGCACACACACGTGCACGTGTATGAGAGAGTGCTGGTGCTGGTGGTGCTGGTGGTGCTGCTGCTGCTACCACTAAAAGAAGCATTGCAAACATGTGGCAAAGTGGCAGGGCCAATGGGTGAAGACGGCAAGCATAGCATCGCATCGGATCGTATCGCATGGAATCGCATGGCAATGGCACTGGCATCGCAGCGTCATTGTACATATGTAGTACGCGAAGGCTGCAACATGGGGCACACACCAGGCAGCAGGCACAACAAGCCAGTGGCCAAAACACTCGATAGATACAGTCGCAGTCGCCGTTGCCGTTGCTGTTGCTGTTGCCTCTGCCGTTGCCTCTGCCACGAACATAGTTGAAGTTGAAGCTCTACAGAGCCTCAGAGACTCAGTCTCTGCCTCTGCCTCAGAGTTGTCTGCCTCCGTTTCCAGCTACTGCCACAGCTTCAGCTTCAGTTTCAGTTTGATGCCGTTCAAGAAAGCTGCAACCCATACATATACCATCTCTATGTATATAATCCCATCTATAACCCTATATACCATACAGCCATAACTATGGTCTTTTTTTTTGCTGAGTGTCTGTGCTTAAAGATGAATATGTAATGCAATTTTTCCTCTCCGATTCTCTCTCTCGTTCGCTCTGTGTGTTTCCTCTCTGCTTTTCTCTGTCTCTCTGTCGGCTTTTCCTTTGTTGCAAATTGAATTGAACTGCAGCGAGGCGATCGGCTTACGTGGCCAGAGACAAAATCTATTGAGGATTAGGCCAAATCGAGTGGAATTGCTTTTTGCAATCAGAACGAAACGTTTCGATTTTGTACTTAAATGTTTATATAAATATATATTTTCTTTATTCGCAGATTATAAAGAGGAAGGACAGGAATGGAATGGAATGCAAAGATGAAGGATGAAACTTGGATACAAAGAAGAAGGAATAGGAATAAATAATCCCCAAAACCAAGAACAACATATGGAGATAGTCGTAATTATATCAATAAATATATTGTGCAAAATATCTCTAAAAATCTAAAATGTTTGCAGACAAAGGAGGAACAAAAGAGGAACTTCTGCCGCTCCAGAAAGGAATTTCACAACTTTATCAAATACTAAATGGATTAAACACGTTCTTCCACCCCAAAGGGGGTTGTGTTGTCTCCTCTTCATCCTCCGATTTCAGATGGATAAATGGATAAAAAAGTTTATAAAACAATAAAACAGAGAAACAAAATGGTGCATACTTATATATGGACCATTAACAGAAACCCGTAATTCCGAACTTGTGCTGTTTTATATCTGTTACAAGACCGGCATTATGGGAGTCTGTCAATGCAAACAACTGGTTTTTGGCAACAAAATTTATCACAAATTTTCGAAAAACATACCTTTTGCATACAAATTGAAGGATAATGGAAATATCAACACATCGCATCGCATCGGAAATTGTTAATCGTTGAGGAATTTCAATATTCATCGAGTATAAAGGACAAGGTTAAATGGAAAGATTAAAGAATTAATAAAAATTAAAAATTTAACTTTAAAAGAATAAATTTCATAATAAATGCAGTATTAACTATAAAAGGAATATACTTAAATGTATTGACAATCAGTGCAGTGCAAGAAAACTTAAACTTAAACTAACGATGGAATAATCAAGTGAGCGTTAAATAAAAAATGTAAAGATTGGCTGAAAATATTCTTAAATGGTGCATAAATGAATCAATGGAAAACATAACATTTCCATAGAAATAGAAGTCCCATTAACCATCTAGAGAACTTAAATGGATCATAATTTACTATAAATTATTAAAATCCATCGAAAAGTGTGATTTGATCAATATAAACTAAATGAAAAAAATATTTAAAAATCAATATTAAATGACTGAAAAAATTAGAATTTATTCAATTCATAAGAACGTTTCGTGAGAACAACCAAATAGTTTTCATCTTTAAAGTATTTTCTTTAGTACTTGATATTCTTTAGAACGAAACCAAAAGATCCCATTACATACTCCATATAATTTGTCACCATTTTGTTACTTTTATGTTTTTGGCAAAAATTTGTTTAACCACAAAACCGAATAAACCCAAAGAATCCTAAAACCGCAAACCATAAGCCCAACAAAAAGGACCAGCACCAAGGACCTTTTTCTCTCTGGCAAATTGAGGTAGTAGGTTGTATAGTAGTACTTCAGATCGTACTATACAATGTGCTAGCTTTCTTTGCTTGACTATAAGCCTCATTTGAACAGCCCAGCCCCCCGCCCCGAACAGCTCCCGTACAGCTCCCGTACGCCCCCCCCCAGCTCCGAACAAAGTGTGGAACCAAAAAAATATACAAACCGAAAAGACAAAGAAAGTAAAGAAGTAATGCGCGAATTGTTCTTGAAATTGGAATCGATGCGAATGTCGAATTGCGTCTGCATCTGCATCTGCGTCTGCATCTGAGATTATTGTATTTGCATAAACGTCCGAGTATCCAAGTATCCGAGTAGTCCCGAGTATTGGTATGAGTGACATGTGCAAATGTTTGTATGGCTGATTCCCTGAGACCCTAACTTGTGACTTTTAATACCAGTTTCACAAGTTTTGATCTCCGGTATTGGACGCAAACTTGCTGATGTTATACAAAAAAAAAGCAAAAAAGAAAAGCAAAAAATGCAAAAACTGAATGATTACAGAAGAATCCGGATGTGAGTATGGGTAAAAAAGTAATAAGACATTCTTATGGAGGTACATTTTTATTGAAAATTGATGCACAAGTATTCGAATGCTGTGGAATTTCTTGTAATGTAACCTTCAGCCCACAGAGAAATGCAGAATTTTATGGATACGAATATGGATATGAATATTTACAGATTACTAAAAGGGTAACTAAAGGTTAGCTGTAACTACTGGTAAAGGTAATATGAAGTATTCGAAACTTTGCGGTTTTTGTATTAGTATTAATACTTCTTTAACCCACAGACAGAAGAAACACAGGACCGGATAGAAAGATCTGCCAACTGCTAGAAAAACTCAAGTATTGGTTGAGAGAGCCCGCTTCAAAGCTAGAATTACCAATGGATAAAGTTCCATACTTCCATTACATGTTTTATACACAATACACATCAATCAACCCACACAGGAAGTTCTTTTTATTTGGCATAAAATGTCCTAGGATGCCCATCTTATATAGCTTTTAAGTATTCTTCTTAAAGAGTGATGAAAACTATGAGACATTCACAGAAAAGTCATACATTTCATATGAGTATCCCAAAATTGATTGATGTTCTATCTTAAAGAAGAACTTTGTAACCTCATAAACCATCGAGAGTGCAATGCCTGCAAATAAACTCAAGAGAAATATGAAGAGGAAGCTCTTTAAACGCTTCTTTGATTGACTCGGAATAATCTTCTTTATGATCAAAATTTTAATATTTTTTAAACATAAAATGCCCTTTTTCGTATCTTTTGGCAGTCCAGAATATTCATTCCATTGGGATTTACTTTAACCTTATATGTATTAGCTAGCTCTAAGCTCAAGAAGTATTGAACTCGTTTTACGATTAGTCCTAAAATATCTTTGATTTGTAGATAAAATAGTTCATAGAATCCTTTATGAAACACATATCGCAAATTCTAGATCTATGTTCTATCATAAGAAATAATATTGATACATTATACATATATTTCCGCTAGTTCCCCTCAAAAATCATTCAAAAGACGCTCCAGATATATACTTAATAACAAAATATTTATTGTTAGCCCAAAGATGGGCAAATATTCTCTCTGAAACCACACATATAAAACAAAATATGATTTTGAATTGGCTTAACTACGATATGAACTACATTCTAAGTACTAGAGATGTGAGAAAGATGTGAATAAATTCATGAAACATAGTCGACTTTAATCTGAACAATTTAATTGTCTAGAGAGTACAAAAAGGTGTAAAGATATACGATATAGATGTATTGGATTGATTGGATTGGATTGGATTGGAGCTTAGGCCGAAGGCTCACTGATGCGTGCACTTGTTGTCCTTGGATTTTTTCTTACGATCTTCACTTGAATTTGATCGTCGCGTACCCTGAATTGGCATGTAAGGCGGCGTGGGACTGGCACTTTGATCTGCAATTAGGAATATAACACATTAATATATAGAATGCAACGTTCGAGCGGATCGTTTAAATACATATATACCAAAATTGCCCGACTTGGAGTATTTGATGTGTGGGGATATATCATGATGGCCGCTGTGCAGGGAACTGTCATGGGAGCCGGCCTCGGAACCATAGTGTTCGGATCTAATGGAGTAATATTTTGGTTACATATACGATCTATTAGATTATTTTATAAACGTACCGCGTCATGGAATTATTGGCCTGCAGCTGCTGCACTGTCTCCGCTGCCATATGCAGGGATACGGGCCTTTGGCCAGGCCTACAATTATCGACTGGCAGTGTGTAGATGTCGTCTTCCCCGCGAGGGGGTGCCCCGAGACTCCTTTGCTGCTGTCGCTGCATGGAACTGTGATTTGAGGAGCCTCCCTCCCGGGTGAGGCTGCCATTGGTCAGGGTTCCATTGGGCTGTCGCTGCTCGCGGCTGCTGTTGAGGACATCTATAGGATTAGAATAGGCCTCTACATCGATGTCGGCAGTGCTAGAAAGGCAGTCTTGGGGTAGCGGCAGCAACGGCCCACAATGCGAGTTTGTGCCGCATAGGAGACTGCCATTGGTGGAGGTGGTACCACCTCCGCAGGCAGCTTCCTTTTGTTGATTTTTGCGCAGACGAGCCTTCTCCTTGGCCCGCTTGGCTTTGGCTTTCTCCTGGAAAAATAGCATAGGATTTGTTAAGGAATACTCCTAATTGTGGGAAGTGCTGTGATATCATACCCTCTCCTGGAGCATTTTGGCTAGTTCTTTGTCCTGTGCCTCAATGGCCAGCATACGATCCCGCTGCTCCTGACGCACACAATCCTTGGATTCAATGGCCTGCAGACGACGTGCCAGCAACTAAAAGAAACGTAAGAATATTAACCACATTGTGACTTGTATAAATGTCTCAAATATACCTCATCTTTCTGTTCCTGCTTGAGCTTCTTGCTCATCTCCTGAATCTCCTCCATGGGCAGACCGATCTCCCGCAGGCTCGCATAGTCACAGGGATCCACATAGAGCTCAATATCATCCGCATGCTGTTGCATATGTCGCTCGGCTGCCTTGGCTGCACCGGTACCTGCAACGGCCCCCGCACCGGCACCGGCACCGGCACCGGCACCCAGGCCAAAGTTCCCCACCAGCTGATCGTATTTCTCTGGCGACAGTTTCTGAAATTTGGGTTCGGTTCTTAGGAGATTCTCATGTGAGGGTGATCGCTGCTTCAGCTGTAAAGGTGTTGCAGCTGCAGCATCGACTGCATTTGGTGGGGGTGGTGCTGGTGTAATGGCTGCTGCCTCTTCTTCGGGGGCTATTATGTTGTAGTTGCGTATGCTGTCGGCAACATCGGCATAGTCCACCAGATCGTCGACGTCAGCCGCCTCTACAGGGAGGTGTGTGGGTGAGTGCTGAGTTATGGATGAAGTGGTAGTGCTGGGTATGTTGGATGATGATGATGGCTCATATACATGTCGACGTGCCGGCGATGATGGATACTGAAAACGTGACTGATGTTGCTGCTGTTGCTGCTGCTGTGGCAATGATGTGGTGGCATCACTCACCAACAGCTGATGATTCTGTGCCTGTGCATGTCTACTGGGGGTGGTGCATTGTGGTGCTGCCACTGGCATATCTACAATATTTGGTATAAGCGATAATCCTACATAGTTGTCGGTCTGTGAGAAATGTTGCTGTTGCAGCTTCAATGGTTGTGGCAGCTGCTGCTGTTGCTGCTGCTGCTGCTGACTCTGATATCTAGCCTGCTGTGAAGTGCACGGCTCTGGATGGCCATTGGTCTGATGATGTGGCTGCTGATTTTGCAGGTGTATACTTGCTTTGGCTGGACGCGGCGGTGGACGGTGGCTTTTGTCGCGTGTGGCAGGCGGTGGCACAGGTGGCAGATTAACATAGATTTCCTGTAATTCAGTAAATGTCTTAGAGGAGTCCAAAAGACCCCGAGGGACTTGATCTGTTCTCACCTGCATTTTCTTGGCAATTATCTCACTTTGTTGTAGCTCCTTTTGCTGCTGTTCTTGCAGATCACGCTCCAGCTTGTCAGCAATTTCTTTGGCCACACGCTTGTCATGCTCCTCTCTGGAAGAAATTCAGTGATTATTAAATTAAATCAGGGGATCTGTTGTGTTCTTACTGTTCTGTGAGTCGTCGCCTGTAGGCCTCCACCTGACGCTGGGCCTGCTCCTTCTCCTTGATCTGTTCGTGCAGGGCTGTGGGGAAATCCTCTCGCACCATGCCATTCCTATAGCGATTTCCCTTGTAGAAGTCATTAACTAAAGGGCAAATCATATTCATCGTTAGTAGCCATATATTTGGTTAGATTAGATCTCTAATGGGTTCTGTTCTTACTCTCTTGGGACTGCAGCTTGTAGGCCAGGGCGCCGTCCTCACGCACGAGCCACTCCTTGCACACTGCGGAAATGGAAAAAAAAAATCTCTGTTGAATCACCTTTCTTTATGGTATGTTATGGCCACCTCTGATGCGCTTAATTACAGTATCTAATGACAAGTGATATACCTTCGTATTTAATGCACAGCCCTATCGAATAACCAAGCGAATCTAATGAAGCCCCGCAAGATCATAAAAAAGAATCTGTATGCCCCACTTGAGGGGCACTGAAACACGATGAGTCACGTCCGAGATGCATTCGAATTGGGGACAGACCTCGGCTCAAAACAAAGAAATTCCATTGAAGATGTAATGTTTCGCTGGTGGGGGTACATTTTGATCGATTTAACCAACCGTAGAGCGATCTCCTCTCCGGTCGTTGATAAGCGAAAGCGTGGTACAAAATTTACTCTTAATTGTGTGCGTGTAGAATCTCGTTTCGAGTTGGTTTTTATATGTAAGTCTGACAGGGGACGATTCCCAGCAATTGGATGCGTAGACGGGTTTCGGTGTCTGTCATTTATCATTCCATTTAGTTGGGGTATCTCTCTCTCTCTCTCTCTATTAGTGTCACTGTTGCACCCTGCTGGTGTTTGTATTTGGTATTTTGAGTGTGTCTTGTCTTGTTATCGGATTGATAGGGAAATGTTTGGTATCTAGGCAGAGACTCCTACAATGGAAGTTTGTTGATTGACAACAGGAAATTTGTTCGTGTTCTTGAGGCTTAAAGCTGCTTCAAGTGTCACAAGAGGCTCTACATTTAGGTTTAAGAATATTTACATAAGTTTTATTTAAAGTTTTGAAAATCATTCTGCAGAACAAATGCGCTCCACTTACTTTCAAAAATTCTAAAGTAATCTAATCGCCAACTGCAGTTACTTTATTATCATTCGATTTCATTCAGTCGTTCATTTCTTAGTTTCATTAACTTTGTGTGGAAAGTCATATCTTCACTTCTGATCTACACTTTTCCACTTCCATAATCTTTTTATGGACATTGTTTCCTCGCTAAACTTTACTATATTTCCCACAATCGCATTACATTTCATTCCTTCCTTCCTTCTTTTTTTAGAACCCCCATTTCATAATTTCCTTATCTGCAAACTCAGATCCCCCATGGGGGATCTCTGCTTTAATTTAAAGGTTCTTTGACTCAAAAACTGTCAACTGGCAATTAGTTGAACTCTGACCGTAGATTTCAACGCTCCGTCTCGGAGGGCAATGGCAAATGCAATTAGAACATTTCCACTCAGAATGAATTATGGGTCAGGCTCGTCGGGGTCTCTACCCTCCTGACTAATGCATTTAGTGGCGATTTCACTTAATTAACTGCAATTTGAACTGAAACTGCAGCAGTACCCCCCACCCCCGTCATAATGGAATTCTGAAAACCAGAAGCACAGAGAGGCACAGAAGAGCGGAAAATACAGAAATGCTGAGGCGTCAAACTGGCAGACATAATCAATTTAGTTGTTTGATTTCCGACTGCACATAAACACAGATATATACAGAGGTATAGTACACATAAATAAACATATACAAGTATGCACCTAAGAGAATCCTCTTTATATGCATGGGCATGAAAGAATACACAAACAACAACAACGAAAATTGTATCTTGTGCCGGTGCATAAACTGAAACACAAAGTATCTTTTTCTTCTTTATTTTTGCATTTTGTGCTTGCTCGGCCTGTGCCCGGTGGTGCTGAGTGGTTCGGCCTGATTGCTCAGCTCAGGTTGCTCTGCCCGTGCTCTACCACTGCCTCCTACCTCCCATGTTGCATCGGCACTCCCTTCTCTTAACACGGTCCATACCCTAGACGAATGTATGGTAATTTTAGCCACTAGTTTGCATTGAATCTGTAATGCAGACAGGCATTTACGACAACAAATCAATCAATAGGGTGGGGATTGTCTGTCTGTTTGCATTATGGCTGCTTTGATGTATGGATATTCATTTAAAATCTGGTAGCATTGCTCTTTCATAAGTCAGAGCCGTTCACTATATCATAGAGTTTTCATAGGCACGATTGATCTTTAAATATGTTTTAAGTAGTATCAAAAAAATGTTTAAGGTCTAGAAAATCTAAGAAAATTCAACTCAATTGCATCACTATTCATATATATGTAAGTATCTTGTGGTCCAAAGAAATACTACTAAAATCTTATTTGATTTTTAATTAAAATAATTGAAACTTAGATATGTTATATGTTATACGAGTAACTGTCATTTCTGCAGTAAAATTCAAGTCTTAAATCAAGTCTTGTTTGTGGGAATGAAGGCAGCAAATCACACAAATTTATAGTCGTATAATAAATATATTATTTGGCGATCAATAACTATTGCAAAAGCCATATCATGTATATCTGCCATAAAAACAAAGGGTCGTAAATCATGTTTTTAAAAGGGAAAAGTAAAATATGATTTAAGGAATGTCAAATGTCAGCTTAGGGAAGGTGAAATATGGAAATAATTGCTCAGATGTTTTCTATAAAACGATGAAAATATAAAAATATTTCCTGAAAATTCCACTCAATGGCTGCTATAGAACTGATGGGTAATGAAAAGGAATATTCATGGCTATGGAAATCAGATAGTTATTTTTTCAAGGTTCTAGGTTCTTCTTTTCTACGTTCAATACTCAAATACCTAAGAAGTTCCATAGAACTAATGTTTTCGTTTACTTTTCTAGGGTACCCAATGCTTCGGCAGGCAAGAAACTTATCCCTCCTCCTCCTGTTGTGTTATACGAGAATTGTGCTTTCAGCATATTGCTTACAAAGTCTCGAACGAGACGAGTGCTAGTACACTACGGGTATAACACATATAAGCGCATGTGTGAGTGTAAGTTTCTTGTTGTTCTTGCGTCTCTCTGCGCTTTTGCCTTATAATGCCCCCGACAAAGCGCAGCTTTTTATTATGCACAACAGGCAACAGGCAAAAACAAAAAAAAACAAGAGGGAAAAAACAAAGAAAATTTGTGTTGAAATTGACTTACTGTACTCCATACGCTGGCCGTTAAATATTGCTTCGCTCTGCGCTTTATGTTGGATGGAAATGGAAGTGGAAATGGGAGAGGAAATGGAATGGTCACAGTCGCAGCAGTAAAACAAATTGTGTTGCAAATATGTCTAGGGAAAAATTATGGTTCTTTATGTCATACGAATCGAATCGCGCTACAAGCTCGGAATTTCGATTCTTTCGATTTCCTGTTCTCGAAGCCTCTCATTGAGAATTCTGGCCCAGACTTCAGTGACAGCTGATTTATTCGTTGGGGGTAATAATATATAGTATACTGTTAGGACCAGGCAAGGAACGGGTTTTCGCCAAAAAAAAGAACAGTTAACCTTTGCCACAGCCCACAAAATTCGCACTACAATGGGAGTGGAGTGAGCCGACGACTGTGGTGGCGGTGGTGGTGCAATGTGGGTCACCAAAACAGTATTTTATTGACTTGACCAAAACAAAAAGCGATCTGGGAACGGGTTAGTAAGTCAGCAATGTCGTCAGTCAGCCAGTGCATGCGTCATTGGGTTTTGGCTTTCCGAGAATTTGGACAATGTTGGGGTCTGATCAGGTGGTAGGGGGTTGGGGGATTCAAGAGAAGTCAGTCAGCTGTGTGGAAGGCTGATCGAAAGGTTGGTAGAGAAAGAGGTACTTTAAATGGAAGAATCTTCCATGTACAAGTAATGAAATGTTATTAAGAATTTTCTCATCTAATATTTAAGCTCAGAATCTTTATAAATTTTAGCTGAAAATATGCAATGGGATCTCATGTACATGGATACACATTCTTTAATTTAAATGCTACGGAAAGAAGTTGGTTTTAATGTTCTTCCATGAATATGTAACACGAAACTTAGAGGAATTCCTTTCCAAAGATTTTCTAGGAAAAGAGCCCCGAGAAAAAGCATTTGTTCTACAATAAACGACCGAAATACTTGAGATAAATGCATGATAGGAATTCTTCTGCTTGAATTTAAGAGGAAAAACATTATTTTATAATAATATAAATATGTCTTAAAGTTTTTAATGACAGACTCACAGAATGCAATAGGGGTTAAGCTTCGAACACGATTGTTTTTATATGATTGGATTGCAAATTCCCATTCAGGAAAGTAGTCAAACTTATCTTAAATGAACTGCAATCTTCTATAGAACCTCCAATTGAGTTTAAATCAATTTATGGCCCTGAACAATTGATTGGCAACTGCTGCCTATCAATTGGGATAAACTTTCATGTAGGGCAACTGCAACCTCAACAAATTCGATGCCATTCATTCAATTAACCTTGCTGGGCATTTGATTACAGTTCAGAGCCCACAGAGCCGAGAGTTTTGCCAGCCGTCAAGTTGAGACTTGGCCCTTTGGCACTTGCCAGGCTTCTCGACCATACTTTTGCACACCTCTCTCTCCCTCTATCTGAACCTCTTTCACATTTCTCTGATTCTCAGTGTTTCTCTGGTTGAGCACCCGCAACAGCCAAGTTCACATTGCTGTCCATGCATGAATGGCTCCCTGATCGCGTGAAGAGTTACACAACCCCAAAATGGAAATGGAATTGGATATGGATATGGAAATGGAGATATGCATTGCATATGCATAAAATCTGAACAAAAAGGAGAAAAAAAACTATAAACAACTAAGGAAAAGCCAAAATTAGAAAGCAGTTTGACGGGAAAAATTTACGATAGCCAGGAAAAAATACGAGTATATATATGTAGGTACGAGTATCGTGTGTGCACGTATGTGCGCAGGGGAAAAATGTTGTTGACGCTTGCATTGATTAGCGACGAGTGCAACAGAGGCGACTACTGCAACAAACGCAGGAAAGAAACGAGAGCTGCGAAGAGTCGAAGCTTAAGATACACTAAATCATCAACATTTTCGTATTATTGTCTACATTCTGTAATATACAAATAATGCTGATTTACCAATCTTAAAGGGCATTACTATATGAAGAAGTGATTAGATCTTAAAGTCTAATCGAATAAGGATGTGATCAAAGATTCATCTATCAAATTATGGGAGTAGGTATCAATGCAACAACACACCCTGAAAAAATCGTGTACCCAAAAAATGTATTAGCCATAAGCATCTTACTATTTATTATATCTTTGGAAACATCCCAGAGAAGATCGAATCTTCTACCATCTCCTCATAATCATCATACCCTTGGCAAGAGTATAACAATGAAGACGCGGCGCCGAAAGTGGAAAAACCTGACTCAAGGTTGTTGAACATGCCACTGGCAAACGATGGCGGGATGATGGCGACCAGAAATGTGGCCTGCAACGCCAACAATGTTGACTATTTGAATGTTGCATCTGACAGATACAGATACACGGAGTGCATGCCCCACGAGTGTGTGAGTACATACATACTGTATATATATATATATATGTAGCCTGCCTTACATTGACCTTAGCCATGCCGCACCATGGCAATGATGACGATGATGATGGGGCAAATGATATTTCATTCAAATGAACTGAAGAGTTAAGCCAAAGTTCAGGTGCGGGTATCGGTTTTCATTGATTGATTGAATGGCCCACTCATCAGGGAAAAAAAGAGCTTATGAATACCACAGACATTCGTTACGGCCATAAGAGAATAGCCAATAATTGTCTGTTTGAGTGTGGCCGTAACAGACGAATCCCAGAAAATTAGCTTAATTTTCAGAGCCATGGCAAATACGAGTATCTCAAGCGTTTACTCCAACAAAAAAAAAAATACAAAAATGAATTGTGCTAGACGACGACGACGACATGCTTTCTCTTGGTTAATGCTGATGAGGAGGAAGTCAGTCTATTTAGGTGCTGGATAATGGTATGTTATTTTCTGTAGAATTTACTCTATAATCTGGCTGTAAATTATTCGTGTGGGTACTCAAATATGTGCTTATTTGTTTGCACAACGAAATATATGGTAATATTTGATTAAATATTGGCTTAGCTTTGAGCGCTATTAAAATGATTAAAAATTTAAATATTTATGTATGTCTACCAATATTTATTGAAGTTGTAGGTGTCTGAAGCAGATGAGTAACAAATAACCCAAAAGACGACGACTAAAAGTCTTTTTCTTCTTAAAAGTCTCGCTAAACTTTGCCCCAATGTCTATGCAAATATTTTCACAAAGTCCATCAGTTTTTAGCAGATGGCAGTGCAACACTCTCCTCCAGAATCTCCATTATTTTTGTGGATCTTTAAAAGCTGTTTTATAGGCCACGGCAAGTCATGACAAAGCAGCCACAGAAAGTGTTTCAGGAAGGAGGAGAGCCATCGGGCAACCGGCAATGGGCTTCCTTTGAGTGCTATCCACCATAGAAATGTTGAGAGCCAAATCCAAATGGAGAAGACCTCTTTCCTGGCACTTGCACATCCTGTCATCGTTGCTGGCAAGTGAATCATTCTTGGCATGCAGCGGCAGCAAAAAAACAAAAATGAAGGAAAGAAATAAACTGCATTCAAGCATCGAGCCCGGCAGCTCGTCATGCAACTGCTGCTGTGGCTGTTGCAAGAGATCTCTCCCTGCCCCACTGACAGCCCTCTCCACTTGTCAGTCAGGGCAGGAAAAAAAAGAAACAGAAGGAACGATACAGGAGGGTATACGGACTGGGAGATACCTGGTGTTTCGATTTGGACAGAGACTGTTGTAATAACTATAGTACGTATATGAGCTTCGTAATATTGGTAGATGATAGATAATGTTGCAATATTACCAAGTGGTCTTCAAAGATCTCTGTCGAAGTGGAAAACATTATCTGTTAGATGTTTCTAATTATGATTCCTCTTTCATAGCCTTTTAGATCACAGTCAGATCTCAGATTCCTGTTGATCCAAGGATGGAGTAAGCCCATCATTTGGAGTCATATCACGGTTTGGTATACCCCTGTTCTCTCTCCGATTATGGGGTATCAAAAGAGGCCAGCAAGCAGTTAAGTTTTCTGTTTGAGTCGGGAGGCCTGGCCTGCCCTGCCTGATGGCTATTCCGAAACCAAAACCGAGGGCTGCCCTGCCCTGCCCTGCCGCCTTTGTGGGGGTCTTTTGTCATGCGTGCTTGGGCGCAAATGAAGCGGCGGCAATCCCCTCTCACAGCGTCAGCTGTTGCCCATTGCACGCGCTGCGGTGCTGCTGTGGTGCAAGTGTATCTTAAAGATACAAATACAAATGGTTTGCTACGCTCCGCTTTGCCTTCTGCCATGCCTGCCTTTTGCATGTCTAGTCATTAAATGGAAAGTGCTGGCGGCAATCATTTTTTGCACCTCAAAAAAAAAAAAAAAACCAAAATACAACCAAACTATAGTGGATATTTTCCCTTTCTGTTGGAGAGGGGATCTTGCTCGTTCTCCATCTCTATCGCTCTCAAAGTAAACTATATAACAGCTCGGTGTTTGTTTATTTATTTTTTTTCAACTGAAATTTCTTCTTCGGAGCCCTGTCCGCTCTCGGTCTTCGGTCTTCGGTCGTTGGTCTGTGGTTTCCTCAGATGTTGCTGCTGCTTCTGCCGCTGACTGGCAGTCTTTGTTTCTGTTTATCGTCTCATGAAGACTTTCAAAAGCCAAATTCAAGTCGGAAGCCCCCCCCAAAAAGGCAGCACGGCAACCTTCTTGTGACTCTCGAGAAAGTTTTTTCATCTGATTCCACGCTGTTGTGTTTTTCATTTTCATTAACATAACAAAAAAAATTGTGTCGCTTGAGATTTGCACAACCTCCAGGGGCATTTCGTTTCGTAAATTTCAATCAATTAGGGCTTATTCAATGTAAGGGGTTTGCTGTAACCATCCATATTTTTCATATGCAAATGGGGGAATATTGTGCAGAGATTACATCATAAAAGAGTTGAGAAAATGTGATTTAGACCCTCAACCGGTTAGTAGAATATATGAATAAGTTCAGAGGCGAGAAAACGTGTTCTAATAATCTTTCATTACATATAATAGCAGTAGGTAATTTATAACCCATCTACCCTCATTTGTGCAAATCATTTTCTTTAATGAAAACATAAAAAAGTGGGCCCTAAGTACGTGTCAACTTTCTTCATTCATTAACAATTAATCAATATATTATATGAAAATTACTTTATCAAAATTGATAAGTTTTTTGAAAAAGTTATAGCGGTTTACTTGAACTTATTCAGTTGCGCAGCGCTGTTCTATATGGGGTAAAACGTCGTGGCAAAATATCATATGAATACCATTAATGTGTCGGTAAAACGTGCTCTGTAACATTCAACTCTGTTTACATCTGAATCATCGTGGAATTGCATTAAATATTGTGGCGGTTTATTAGAGCTTGAAGGCGAGTGTCGACTGATGGATCTTGGGGGAATAGTTCCGGGAACTCTTATGTTTGTTTTGGATTTCAGAGGCGGGGGATGAAGCAGGAAGAGTAGAATATGTTGAAAGGGAATTCTGGAAGAGCTGAAATTAATCATTTTCAGATATATTCCCTCTGTTACACCCCTCGAACTCGAACTCGAATCAATTCCCAATTATCTAAGATCCCTCGCAGGAAATTGTTCATGTTCAACCAATTTGGTATTGGGTTTCCCTCTCTTTCTCTCTCTCTCCTTAGCCCCCTCTTACCCTCATTTAGGCAATTTATTTTTAACCCAAGCTTACCCTCATTAACATGTCCTGATCGGGGCAGGGATTCCTTTGTGGCAGGAGGCGGTGCGGCGGCAGTTGTGGTTGTGAAATTATTCATATCTCTCGTCGTGTTTTTGTTGGTCTCTCTCTCTCTATTTTTCCCCTCTCTCTCTCACTGTTTGCTTTTGCTTACGCGAAATTCTCTCTCTCGATATACGACTGTTTCTCTATCGCAGCATTCAGATATTTGTTGTTTCTTAAAGACGCGATTCTAGTAGAAAGTTGATCTCGATATATGTATCTCCACTTCTGCATAGAGATCCAGTCAACAATTCCATATATTTTTCTCTATCTATTTCACAATTTCCAATTTCAGTTATTTCTCTCTCCTTCTTTGTATCTTCCTTCAAATCTTCCTCTATTTCACCATACAATTCTGTATTCTCTACATTCAATTCTCATTCTCTCTCCTCCTCTGTATCTGTATCGTGTTTCTCCTCTTAAACAGGTGTTTAATTTATGAGCTCAAGGACGGACGGGAGCCTTCCTTCCCCTGGTTGTTGTTTTTCTTGTTGAATGCAGCCGCGCCTTCCTTCCACGTCTTTCACTCGACTGGATTGTCGATATTTCAGTTATTTCTGGCTTCGTTTCCAATGGTTTACTTTACTGTTTGAAGCAGTCACTACACAATAATTATATGAAATTCAAGTGCCTGAGTTTCAGCTATTTCACTTTCACACTTCCACACACGGGGCTAAAACAATTTTCATCAACAAAATTAATCTTTTATGGACACACGACACGCGCGCAAAATCCACAGCCCAAGCCAAGCGGCAGCTGCAATTTCAATTTTTGTATCTGATGGAACAGAACGAACGGAACGCACTCGAAGATACGCTTCGGACTCAATCGACAACAACCGGCGGCGTCGGCCCTGTCTCTGGTTTTGGGGCTGTGCTGTGGGGCTGATCGAAACGCGTCCAACAACTCATTCAACAGCGAAAGCCGCTCAACAAATGCCTCTCAAAGTGCTGCTACGCTGCTCTTGGATGTATCTGATGGATGGTGGATGGATGGCGGCTAAACAACAATAATATTTCCATGGATGGTGGTGTTATTCCCAAGGTAGTCCATAGCATATAACCTTGTTAGGTTGGGCCAATTTGAGGTCTTATTTTGCGGAACATAATTAGGATTAATGCGGATGCTTTTAAGACTCTAAAAAACTAAAGTATTCTTCGTTTTATAATAAAAAAAAAACAGAAAAATGTTTTTTCAATAATGGAGAATATATTGGCTCTTACGTTTCTCATTTCCTCACATACCCTGTTGCTGAGCGTACCTTATTTGGATATGCCATGAATACTTCTCTCTGGAACTGCAACTGGAATTGAGATACAAATTGTATACAAAGGCGGAATGCATTGGAAATGAGCATAAATGGACATTGAGAGAGAGGGAGATGGAGAGACGAATTGCGACAGACGGATAGAGAGAGATAACGAACAACTATAAAAGAGAGAGAGTGAACCAAAGAGTGCAGTCGACTGGAAGTAAAAAAGTGCTGCCAATCATTTCAAAGCCGTTTAATATTCGAAAGATTTTGATTGAAATAAATATTTTACATTTTGTTTCTTATGTTTTACAAGCTGTTTTTAATTTTTCAATACTTTCCGTTTATTTTTCCACCTGTTTCTTTTCTTTTTAAACATTTATTCTACTATTTTCATGGAAAACAGTGGGTCGCCTTTAGTCGAGACAACACCCTTTAGCATAGCTCCAAACCATATCTTATTCTGACTCCCTCTCAAAACAGGTTTTTAAACAAATTTTATTTTATGAAAGAGTCAACAATCATTTTGCTCGTTGGAATTTCTATACACTGAGATAAATTACTAAATATTTATTCTATATTTAAATTGGCAACGTTAACGTGGAAATTAAGGTTGTGGTACAATTATGGTCTGCATGGGCTGGGTATTAAAATATAACTATTAATAAAACATTTCCTTATATAACTTTTAAGCGATTATACTGATAATATCAATGACCGGTTAATCTTCATTGAAAATCTATAGATCAATGATAGATAGCTATAATTTCAATGAACAAATGACAATTTTAACCATTTACTTTTTTCAGTGTGGTTCTTGTCTCAATGTTGTTGCAATTGTTACTGTCTGACATCAAGTGTTTATATTTATAATTCATATTTACACGACTTTTCAACAGCCTGACTTGTACGTGTTTGAAGTCCCATTGTGAAGTCTCCAAAAAGGTATACAGTAATTTTTTGTGCTTTGTGCATCTAATTTTTTCATGATTCTATGGGCTGGCATTAGGTAATTTGATAAATTTTCATAAATAAAAGATGTTGACAGCCGTCTGCCTTTCTGATGAGCTGATAGGTAAATAAACAACTATGGATGGCATGGGCATGGATACAGGCTCTACAGAAGTAGATTTCAGTCTTTATTTACTCCCCGAACCTGACACAAACGCTCACTCCACTCCTCCAATTTCTCGCTGATCTTAACCCTTAATAATGGAAATACTTTAGAGATTAAAACAGGAGCCGGGTTCAAAGTATGCGGCCTGACTCCAAAGCCAATCTATAGATGCTTTGAGTCAAAACAGAAATCAAATACACAGATACACCCTCATACTCGTGCAGGCTCAACAGCCCATGGGCCATATCTGTTACCTGCTACAGACTCTGAGCGAAACGCAGATACTAGATACTTTGCCATCCACAACACAACTGCAAAGGCAAATGGCATGACGTGCATACACACACAGATACGATCGAAGTGAGAAAAAGGTAAACAAGAGTCAATTCAATGCGTACTCCATGCATTTGTATGGGTAGCAGGTCTGAGTATCGGTGTATCTTGGTAACACTCCGACGAACGATCGGCATTTGCGGCCAGTAACGAGTTGAGTGTGGCTCAAACGAGTCGAAAAACGGATGATAAAAAAATCGTTTTAGTGGTGAAAGAATTCGTGTTTTTCATAGCTAATTATTATAGAAAGTATCAAAATTTACGAAATCAATAAAGAGTGCAACTACAGAAAGTGTGAAAATGTGTCTAAACTGGAGGAAAAGTTGATGGAAAATCGACTGAAAGTTGGCCAAGATAAACTCAAACTCGTTTGCACACACGCATACACACAGATACGGAACTACGCACACCAGTGCACCCACAACAGAGTCTGGAGTCTGAAGCCCAATAACAATTAAAATAAAAGAAGTTAAGTCAGTCGGCGTCAGCGTCGGGGTCTCCGCGTTGTTGGCTTATGAATCATACTTCGAGAAAATAACTTCCAGAAGAGAGCCTCCCTCCTCCCCTGGCACTTATGTAAACTGCACTTCACTTCACGTCCGAACAAGCGAACAACAGTAGCGGAAATAAAACAAATATTTGTGCAAAACATCACCCACTCAGCTAATCAATCAATCAGTCAATCCAAGCGTTGCACATGTCTGGCAAGGAAATGCGTCCATTGTCGCTCTCGATAGGCGCCTCATTGCTGCCCAGCTTCTCCCTTGTGACGGCTTCGCAGGATGGCATCCTGCACAAGGATTGCCATGGCAAGATCTGCAATCCCGTGGAGGAATATTGCTCCGTCTTCAGCGAGGCCTGCGACTCCTGTGCCACCATTTGTGATACCAAGTCCCACAACTATCAGGCGGACACATGCGCAAAGGAGTGTTCAGGCAAGTGTAACGTAACCGAAAGATTGCCTCAGTGGCATGTGGTTGGGGATGGGGCAATCCGTTAGCCATAAAGTTGGGATAGTACTTTAGTCAATAACTAACTGCAGTTTGGGTTTTTCCAGTTGGGAAACTTAAGGTTCAATTGACTGTAATTAATGTGCTTTTGTTCAAGTGATTAGCTCATCGCTGATGAGTTTCTTAAGCAAATCTTTGGGGTATTTTTAGATGGTAGTTTGTACTGTGGGATAGAGCTACATTTCAACAGGTTATTGTATGATTTACAGTGTACTGATGTGGGCTAAAAAGTACCCAAGACTGCAAGCAATCTCTTTGAAGATAACCAATCTACTATGAGTTGTCTATATTTACCTCATTTTCTGATTCACCCAGAAATCTGATATCATAATCTAACATTTCCTCTTTCGCGCCCACAGCTTACAACAGATATGAACCTCTTAAGGCGGAAATCCACAGTATACAGTGCACCCAGCAACTGATTCTCCTCCTTCTTACCATACTCCTTATACTGATAGCCATACGTTATGCGTACAAAGGAGTACGCTGGCTGCTGCGCAAGAGATGCGTCCAGCAGATGCTGCAGCGATATCAGTCCAAGGCCTATCCGCATCCGGGGACGGCTAATGGCAAGGATCTCAATGCCACGACTATACAGAATCTCAGTGCCATTCGTCATGGCAGCGACATTGAGCGGGCGCCGTCACAGATCTACAGTGTGGCTGGTAAGTGTAAGGATCGGATCTACCTGACATTCCGAGAAGAGCGAAACGCATCTCATTGACTATTTGTGATTTACAGGCGCTGCCGAGGGTTCGGTGCTGACACTGACGACGCCAGTGAGCACACGCTATCCGGCCGAAAACAGCACCACTCCGACTACGGTGGTGACTGAAATTGGCTATGGGTATGATAATCAGGCCATGGTTGTGACGCCGGTTTCCGAGAAGCCCTCAGCTGCCACAACGGCTGCTTTCTAGACCCGCTAGACCCCCTCTGCAGCAGCTACATTACTTTGTACTTATGACAAGCGAAAGCGAAATGTGCATCACATTGAAACTAGTGATATTTTGTAGATTATTAAGCAAAAAGTCTTCGAATGATATTGAAAATACAGAAAAACAATAATTTGTTATAGTTTTAACCTAACTTATACGGTTTAAATACAGATGTACTTAAATTTTTAAATAATGTCTGATTTTTGAAGTAAAATTTAAATTTCGCGCCAACTACTGGAAGGCGATAGTGAAAAATGTTAAGAGCTGTCGCTCGGAACTTGCTTGTGAACTACTATCGGAATCGGAACACCGCTGGTTCAGGTGTCGCTTTTGGTAATTGCATAGCAATGTAGTTTATGTGTAGCAACTGTGTCGTTAGCGGGTAGTTAACATATAAAAACATTAATTCATAAACCTGATTTCATAAACAATACAATCAAGCTGACTACTAAAAGTTAACCAGTCTAGTAAAAAATAGATTCATTAATCAAATAAAATTATGTGAGCATAGCTGGGAGTTCGTTCTAGCTAGTAATATTCGACGAAATATGAAAATATAGCAATATGAACGACTATCCTTTTCGTTTGTTTTGTTTGCTGAAAGATGTGATAAAAACAAGTGCATTTTGGCTTAAAAGTATTGTCATTTATTGAAATAAGTATTGGCAAACACAATGCTAAGGCTAATGTAAGTTGGCAAAAGTGTCTTAAAACTAATTTGAGTATAACTCTCGCGTAATCTGCTCTTAACTTAATTTCGACATAAAAATATGTATAATCCGTATATGACACTCCAGATATGTGCGTAAGTATATAATGTATATTGTATCAAATGCTTTACCTATCCTTAACAAGTCTGTCCGTATCCTAGAGTTGTGCGAATCTCAAAAATCAGCCTTAAACTTAAGCCTAATTACTGGTACAATATATAAATATCCTTAGGTCTAATCGTATCTGATCGCTTAAACCCAATACTGATTGCGTCGCAGCAAGGGATTCGTTGGCGGGGCCGAGGGCGGGGAGCTGACGGACCCTGAAATGCTCTGCGGCACGGAGGCATAGCCCGCAAAATCGTTGGCCATGTCGCAGGAGGAGCTCCAGGCGTCGTGATCCAAGTGATAGGGATTGTAGCGCTGCGGCAGCATCATCTGCTGCGGATCGCACTGATCATCGGTCTCATCCTCGTCCGGATCGTAGTCGGGAAACTCGTGCTTGTACGACTCCACTGGTATGATCTTGCAGTGCGGGATATTGCTGAAGCCAGGCAGCGGCGTGGAGTTCCCTGTG